CTCCCTCGGCGCCGGCGCCGGCGGCAGGTTCATAGGGAGTGTCGTCGCGGCTCGCCACTGGTTCGGTAACTGCACCCGCCGAGGGCGGTGCGACGTCGGCCGCAGTCGGCTCGGCGGGCTCTGCAGCGGCTGGAGTGACAGCGCCCGCACTGGGCGATTCGGTTGCGGGGGGCGAGGTGGTGTCTGGCTTCCCGACCTCCATGGCTTCAGCTGATCCGGTCGGCCCTGTGCTACTCGGTTCGAGTTCCATCTTCGCTCTGATTATTAGGAACGAGAAAATGATTTTTGATGAGCCTCAGCATTATGCCGAGAGATAGGAGGAGATTGAGGCAAAGTGGCGAAAAAGGCCTTGAGAAAGTGATGAACTCATCACCGAAGGAGATGAAAAGAACGTGAATTTTTAGGTACATACACCCCCACCAAATTTAACCGAAATGACCATCCTAAGGCGGAAAGGAACTGAAGGGGAGCTAAAGATGAGTGCGGTACCCTCTTCGTGCGAACAAGGCGAGAGGTCCTCAGGCAAAAACGGCCGTTGTGAAAGATTAGAGTATCGGTGTGCCGAAGGTGCCGTTTGTACGTTCCCGAAATTTTTACTGTTTTATTGGCATTACTCGCATTCCGGCGATTTAGAAATAATTATAATAATTATTATCAGCGCTGGCACTCGAGGGCGTCGGGACTGCAGCCGTCGTACGGCCGCACGCGCGGGTCGTCGAGAAGCTTCTTGCGCACACACGCGCACCTATGTGTTATGCACAGCAAGAAGAGGTGAGCATTGACGATTGATGACGATGGTTGCAACAGTTGCAGCTGCGTGGGCAGTGAGGAGCTCTGTGAAGGCCAACCTGGGGTTCTGCGCGCGAGCGCTCTTGAACTGGCGGGGATAGCCCTTCCAGGATCTCTCGATGCCTGCACGCAGTAGTATGTGGAGTATGAGAAGAGAGTCTGACTTTGATGCGGCCCGTGGACCACGGGCGTACCGCCGCTCGATTCGGTGCACCAGACGGTGGCGCCGTCCTTCTCCGTCCACCTCGAGTTACACTCTGGAAACTGCTGCTTCTCCTCGAGCTCCTGATCCACTCTAGATGATGTGCGTGCGTAAATATCGCGGTTGGTGGCCCATATATGGCGCTGTTAGAATTGAGAGGCGTACACAATCTTGGCCTTCTGGAGCTTCTCTTTCACCTTCTTGAGCGCGGGCGTAGCCTTGCCGGCCGCATCATAAAAATCTCCCTGTGTACGAGGAACGGCGCACTGTGAGCATCATTTCACGAAGCCACAAGGTTGAAGAAGGCATTGGGTACCAACGACTTTGCCCAGGTACTTGTACTGGCGTTCGAATTGGGTTTGCCACTCTTTGATGGCCGCCACCTGTTCGGGTTCGAGGTCGGTCACGTCGTCCGTGAGATTCTCCTCCTCAAACTCGCCTGCGCGGAGCGAGCGAGGCAGTCATCGATCGCGTTAGCAAAGGTGCTAAGGTCGGCAGGCAGGCAGATGCGCACCCGTGGCGAAGGAACGCGAGGCGTCACGCCCGGCAAAGAAGGAGTAGGACCCCCCCTTGGCGTAGAATCTCTTCCCTTCCGTCACGTCAAAGACCTTGCCTGCCCACACACACCACCACACACACGCACACACGCACACACGCACACACACAATGAAGCGCGTGAGACGTCTTGCACAGGAAGGGGGGCGCACGTGGGAAGGGAAGAGAGCGCACCAAGAACACTGAGTAGAATGGGCTTGGCCGGGTCGCTGCCATCATGCAGCCGCAGCTCATCTGCGGAGAAGATCTTGGAAACAACCTTCGCCTTCTTTGCGACAGGCTTCGACGTCGCGTTCGGCCCGTTCTTGGGCTGGAAGAGCTGTGCAATAGTGGCGGCAGCCTGGACGAAGCCCTCGTCCAGCTGCTTCACGATCTGGGGTTCGTAGTGGAGAAGATAGACCGCTACACCGACCAAGAGCGCGAGCAGCAAGCAAACCACCGCCAGCGTTTCGTAGATGCGGGCGGTTGACGATGATGAAGATGATGGAGGCCTTCTTGGATGGCCTCGCTGGCC